ATACTTCATGACAGTCTTCCATTTGAATGTATTGGGATCAACTTGACTCCATTCATAAAACACTTGATTGAACCTCTCTTGGCATGTTGGATAGTCTTTGTCCAGTCCTTTCAGGTAGCCTTCATTTAGACCAACAGCAATCCCAAACAAGTGATACTTGTCTTCAATCTTTGCACCCACCAAATTATTAAGAGCAGGAAGACTGGGCTCAGCTTCAAGAACACTGTCTATATACAAAATATAAGTTGATGTTATTAGTATATAATAGGAACATACTCACTTGGAAGTGTAGGCATTGGACGCTGTTCTTTAAACTGACCCTCCAACTGTATAGCTACAGATTTAAGCTCAATGCTCTCCAGTGCAGCTGCTACTGGTTCCCATGTTGCAGTCTTGTTTTCAGTCCTCCACAAAAGAAGGGATTCTCTAGCAAACTGAGTTGGATTGTTGTACTGTATCTCAATCTTGTGCAGTTGGGATACGTTTAGACCAAGTTTGAGACCAAATATGAACCATTTACTGCCACGATGATCATCGCAAAAAATATCAGCAGTAACAGTCAGGATTTTCATCAAGACAGCATCAGAATCTATTAAAGGACATGAATATGAATAAAGTCATTTATACTTTAGGGTTGAGTTGCTTACTAATATCATTTGCTGGTGAAATATTAGGAGTCAAAGGAGGAGTTAGCTGTGATTTGGATGCACTCTCATTTTCTTGTGGCTTTTTTAATGTGACATTGATTTGAAGGGGTTTGCTTGTTCCACTGAAGACAGCTTTCACTTTTGTAGTATCTAAGGCAACAAAGCTATTCAAGTATGAGAAGGTGTATCTGAAGCGAGGAGGATAAGAAAGAACCTCTTCCATCATTTGAAGCATCTCAATATTCTCTTTATTCACATTACCAGCTTCACAACCCATCACTTTAAAATAATCAACCTCTGACTCAAATATCTATGATAAACAATCATAGAGTATCATTCAGTGTGCTATGTCTATCTACCTCTTCTGTATGGAATCCATTGTGATCTCTTTCCCATCCTGGTACACTGTCTGGATCAAATGCTACAGATAAGCTGCCTTCATCATCAAACATGATACTCTTCAAGTTACTAATTGCAAAGTCTTCATCCTTACACTGCTTCATTACAAGCTGTAAATTAAAAATTATCATAAATAATTATACACTTTAAAAGAGACATTGATCAATACCTGCTTGCATCCCATCTGACAAGGAAAGCAGCAAAAGTCAACAAAGGTTGTTTCATCTTCTTGTTTCTCAGCCATTGCTATCATGTAATGCTTCTGAGTACCTTTATATGCATTCTTCTCCATGGCAACACAGTGTGAACAAAAGTGGTCACAGAATGTCTTAAACATTTCAGAATCGACTTCCATTTTGACGTTGCTACAAGTAAAAAGAAACTTTCCTTTTTCCAAAAAGTTTTGATCACTGGCGTCAAGTGGACGAAGAGGTTTTTCATGGTTGTCCCAATATTGATGTTGTGGGGAAGGTAAAGTTCTGCTGGTTTTGTTAGTTTTTGATCAATGTAGACCCATACAATAGGAGTGATGGGCACATAGTCACCAAACTTGAACTTAGTGCTAAATGGACACACTCCAAACCATGCAGTAGCAGGTTGTTGAACTGCTCCCTCTGGCATTATGAGTGTCACACCAGTCTTGCTGCAGTGATGGACAAAGCCTTTACTATCAAATTTTAATTTGGTCAGTTCACCAAAGATATCTGCAACAAATCATCAATACATGCATCCACAGTTATTTTTACTAACCTTTTATTTGTTTAATTCCAGCTGCAAAGTTTATCTTTTTCGTTTTCTTTGATCTTTTTTCTGCTTCTTTCCTTCTCTCAAGAATGCTTAGCAAATACTCCTCATCAGATTCATAAAGTGATGCCTCCAAGTCATTTCTTTTCTTTTTTCTTTTGACGTAGTATCCTCCAAAACAGATTATTATTCCTGGTATTGACACTAGAAGAAGTATGGTAAAACCAACGGATGCTGATGCTATTCCAGTTATTGCTGCTGTATTAGGACCATCTGGTGTTGGAGATATAGTTGGTGTAAATGTTGTTGGAGATGCTGAACAGTTTGTCATTGATGGAGTGTATGTACTGCTATTGTATAGTTGTACTGGTTGATCTCTATATTGCAACTTTGCACTGTTGTTTGAAAAGGCAAATATGCAGGCTTCATTACTGAAAGACTTCAGTTGGCATTGCGGTCTATCTATCGTTAAGTTGCTGCATTCTTCAGGATAACTTATGTTTTCATAATAAAATTGTGTTATTGTAATGGTTCCACTTGCAATGAGATTCCTATCAGTGTATCTGATGAAAATTGCAACAATCAGATCCTCAAATCTAAATGCTGTAATGTTCTTTGAATCTGGAGGAATGGGTTTTCCTTCATTAGTTGCATAGCAATGCTTATCTATCCCTATTGTAATACACAATGGCGAATTACTAGAAACCTCTGTGGTATACATGTACGTGATGTTGTATGAAACCATATAAAGAAATATAAGCTTCTCAGGATCAACATTTCCAGTTAATTGATGAGTAAAACCTGTCTTTGTATTACTGAAAGTCAAATCATAACTTTTGGTTCGAGGTGGATTATAGCGAGGACTCTGATATAGATCAACTCTGCTATCACAAGAAGGATTGATGAGTGCCATATAAAGACTGGTGTTCCTGTTGACAGGGATGCAGGCTGAAACTGAATCATCTTCACCACCAATACCAATTGTAGTAAGGTTGACTGAAGCAACTGGATACAATAATAGCAACAGGAAAGACACTCTTAGAAGTAATTCTATAAAATAGACATAATAGAGTATATTTACTATTAACTTGGCTTACCCATAATCTTTAAACTGTTATGCTACTGTAAGTAGCTATACAGGTGTGTTTGTATTTATAGTACACATCGTTTATAATATCTCCCTGAAGTCATGAGCTCTATATGAATTATTTTAATTACACATGAATACTCTTGTATTACGTATCGGGTGTTTTCTCAGTGTCAATTTTTCATGAATAGTATATCAAAAACAAAGGAAGTGGTTCACAACAGATTAATCATTGATTGAATAGTGAATTTAAATAAAAATTGTACAGAGCATAAAATGAAATGATGCGATTATTAATATGACAAATAGACAGACAACACCAGTTATTTTTAGATCAATAAATGTGTTCAGAAATGCATGTACAGAGATTGTTAATAATTACGACTTGCAGTTGATCATATAGCTGTAGGACTAATGGTATCTTGCTCTATAAGATTCACTTGATCTCCATCAGCTACGCCTTCATTATCTTCAGAAGCCACACCTACTCCTTGTTCTTTTAAAGACGAATAAGGATCCTCTTCGGTGTACTCTGGAAGCTCGTTATCCCTATAAGGGGGCGGAGTGTCGTCGTCTCTTCCGATAAGTCTCGAGGCAAGATACAGCTGCATTAGTCGCCGTCTTTTCTTTCTGTTGTGCCTCCACCAACAACAGTAGAGTATGATGACAGTCGCAATTATTAGTATTATAAGAGGAACAGCGATACCTAGTCCTATGTATAGTCTTTATTGGAGAAAGGAAGGAAGAGAGAGGAAGAGGAAAAAATTTGGAGGAAGAGTAAACATTTTAAGTGGCAGGATGTCAATCATGCATGCAAATGTCATAATAAACGGACACCAATGACGTAGTTATCATTATTGTGATTGTAAATAAATTATTATAATTGGGTTAACTTGTAAAAGCACAAATAGTTGTACAGTCAACACTTCTTTGATACATGTCGCATCTAAACAGCATCTTCTGGAGACTATTGATAATAATACGTGTTTTTTAAAGTACAAATGGCTACATAAACTTCTCAATAGAGTGTGTATAGTATCAGAAGTACATGATATCAGTGCACTCTTGATGGTACATGTAATCATAACATAACACCTCATCAACCTAGGTGTGACCATCTAATGATGCCAAATGCACACACCTTAAGTTGTTGGCTAAAGAGTTACGGCTGTTGTACCTATTCAGTGGTTATATGGGCTACATGGAAACCGGGCTTAATGGCTCTCAGTAGTATACGTAGGCAAAACAATAATGATTGGTGTAATAGATGAACGTTAAGCAATTACTAAGCAAAATAGGCTACAATGTGTAATTTAATAGGTAGATATAATGCAATTAAATACTACTGAGCTATTATTATAATAATAATTATACCACAAGGGAAGTATACAATGTACATGTTAGTCCTCTTACTGAAGATATGGATTACAGCAGTAGTTATTATTATTGTTCATACTGCTGCTGTCAGAGCAGCAGTACGTCTTGTACGAAGCATCATTACTTGAAGGGCAAGTTACAGAGCAGTCTGACGAACCAACAATGACTTGAGAACAAACTATAAAAAGAAGCGGGTTTTGGATATTATTGTATTAAAAGGTATACTATCCCATCTTACCAGTAGTAAGGACAGAGAGAAATATCAATAAAAAGACATTCATTGCCGGACAATATTTCTTCCTCTCGACCACAGCAACTCAAAATAAAACCAAACCCAGCCCAGTTAGACTTAGATAATATACGGCATCATTGATATAGGGTATCATGGATGATGGTATTTTGGTGATACATTCTTCACTATTTCAGTTTCAGCATTAACAAAAATAAATTTTTTGCACTTCTTAAAACTTGCTAATTTTGAAAAGTAATTTTCACCTAATTTTCACCTGTTTTTTACTTTTTAAAAGTGTGATTTAGATACGTATAAATGATTTTCACATTTTATACTTCCTAATTAAGTGAGCATTGATTGTTTTCATGCAAAATTATTTCTTCTCTCTAATTTAATTTTTAAAAGGGAAGAAAGAGCACGAAGATGTAAGTGTTGTTTTGCTCTGCCTGATATATCCTTGTTTGTTTGTTTGTTATTATTACAGTCAGTCACATGATTTGCTCTTATCTCTATTCCACAGGAGTAAAGTGACCTTTAAGATTACTCTCACATCAGATCCAAAACTACCTTTTAAAGTGTGAGCATAGTAAATGCATCCATAACTAATGTATGGTCCATCTTCATTGTTTATTGGCCCCTATGCTTTATTGTGTTTGACTCCTCCTTTTCTTACTAGTTTAAGTGTACCCGAGAACACTCCGTTTACTGCTGTATTAAAATTTGCTGCCGAAGAAGTAAGAACATGTCAAGTTTAGACAATTGTATTATTTCCTCTTTTAAAAATTAGTTTAAAGTTCCTCCTGCCACTAGCGCAATCATTACAAACGGTAAAGTATAATCAATTGATCGATGACGATAATTTTTTAATCTTTTTTTAGATGGAATAGGAATTAATCCATCTCAAACAGCAGGTGCGTAGAAAATGTGGTAGAGAAAATTTTGAAAAAGAGAGACAGAAAATGAAGTTTTCTTTATCATTTTATTAATAGGTAGTGTATTTTTAAAGTATGGTGGGGAACTCCGCCTGATTCCACGAGACAGAGTCGGTCATCAAAAACAATGATCTTATTTTATTAATAATAATAATTATTATTTATTATTATTATTATCAGCTGTTTTATACCAATCAATAATTTAATGCAAAAACAATATTCGTTATATTAAATAATGGAGATATTTTAGGTCAATTTGTGTTCTCTTTTTGTTCTTTGTCCTCATCTTCCCAAAAAATGCCCTTCAACTTTTGCAAGAATCCTTTCTCTTTTTTGATGAGTTTGTTCTTTTTTCCATTCTCCCCTCTACCTAACATAAAGGTGGAGTCAACCACGCCCTTTTTTAATTTTTAACCCTGACCTTTTATGATCCCATTCACAGATCCTTCGTAATCTTCAGTTTGTGCTAGTTCTTCTATTAACGTCTTCTGTTCACTGGTCAGATTCCTTATAAGGAAGTCATGGGTGTGGCAATGTGGGAGTGGTTTCTCACTTGGGTACTTTGATCCTGATGTGAATGTAATGGTCTCCGTTTCCGTATCCGTTGAGTCGTGGTATCCCTCGACCACTTAATCTGAGTCTGTGATGAGACTGAATACCTGCCGGAATCTAAAAAAAGAATACGTGAAGCTCCACCCATAGCCATGCCCATACCTTTAAATCCAGCGTCCCATTAAGACCGGGTGTTTTAGCGACTCCTCCCAGGACTGCTTGAGTGTAGCTGACGTTAGCGTCAGAGTGAATGTCAAACCCGTCACGTCTAAAAGTGTCACTTGATGAAACTCTGAGCGTTACATAAGCTTCTGTGTGACCCACTGGAACTCTTAGAGTTTGACCGTCTGAAACACCTGCAAAAGAGAAGAGATTATAATAATTTATGAGCAGCCATTTTGTATCTTCTCTCCCTCCTTCCCTCTCTCTTTACCAGCTGGTACTTGTACGTTAACTGATCTTGTCTTGACAGTGGTTCCTTTCCCCATGCAAGAGCGACACCTCACAGTTATCACACGTCCTTGTCCGTGACAGTTCCTACATACGGACTTCATCTTGAAGAACCCAGTACTGATCACCTCCTGTAATGTAAGGATTTAATCATGATAAGAAATGTAGGGGCAGGGTTTTCCACAGGATTTTAAGATCAGTAGTTGCTCAAAAATTGGACCCAAGTGCCTGTGCTATAGTACAGGGTTTTTGACCAAATTTCGTCAAAAATTAAAAATAGAAAATTCTCCATTTTTATAATTTTTTCTGATACATATACATGTACTTATGCTGTGTAGAAAGTTTGAAATGATTCCAATAAAGTTTGGATTTTTTATGAACTTTAAAAGTTACTCAAAAATCAGGTGAAAGTCCCTGTACTATAGTACAGTGTCTTTGGCCAAATTTCATCAAAAATGACTAAAAGAGAAATCTCCATTTTTATAATATTTTCTGATACATATACATGTTCTTATGTTGAATTTGAGCTGATTCCGTTAAAAATTGAATTTGTAATGAATTTTAAAAGTTGCTCCAGAATCCAAATGCCATGCACTGCATTGTAGTGCTTATCAACTCATGAAGCTCATGCTGTTTAGCTCACTTAGCATGCTTTGTGGGAAACCCTGTCGCATAACAGCAATAATGAAAGGATCTTACCTCTCCTGACCCACGGCAGTAGGGACAGACTTCTGTCTTAGTCCCTGGTTCCCCTCCACTGCCAGAGCACCTCTCACACATGGCTTGTACTCTCATTGACAGCTCCTTACTGCATCCTTTGACTGACTCCATGAATGAAAGACTGAGATGAAGCTAAGAGAGAGTAGAAGAGAGAGAGAGGGAAAAAAAGAGCAATAAAAATGAACTAGATAATGAAAGTATTATCTATGACAAGGTTCAAACATTTTTTCACAGTTTAAGTTTGTCCCAACTTTATTTTTATATACTACAGTTACCGTTTGGGAGTTCCTTGCGTCTTGTCCAAATATATCTTGTCCAAACATGTCAAAGTCACCAAAAAACTGACGGAATATTTCCTCAGCTCTCATCGACGTGAAGGGGTTTCCCTGATGACCTGGGCCAGCTTCATCGCTGAACTCTGAGAAACCGGAATAATCGTAACGCTTTCGCTTCTCAGAGTTACTAAGAACCTGTAATAATAATAAACAAAAAAACAAACAAGCAAACAAATAAATAAATAATAGCTATCAGTGCAACCTCATATGCTTCTCCTATTTTTGTGAATTTCTTTGCCGCTTCTGGGTTATCAGGGTTACGGTCGGGATGATACTTCTTTGCTAACTAAAAACATAATTTAAATTATACTTGCTAGTTTTTTTTAAGAATAGTCCTTCTCTTACATCGTAATAAGCTTTCTTTATTTCCTTGGCATCGGCAGTCCGTGGTATCCCAAGTATCTGATAATAGTCCTCTTTACAGAGAGCAGCTGAAAGAATAAAAAAGATGGGTACAAAAAGGTAAAAAAGACAGCAAATTTCAATCAAATTTGTAAAAGAGAATTAAGTCTACTCTGGTAAATTGTAGTTTACCATTAGAATGAATTCCTCTATTGGAGTGTGTCTTCGTATGATTAAAGTAGTGATTGCTATATCTAGTGATACAGTAAGACACTTCTGCTGATCTCAAGACAGAAGATAAGCAAGAGGAGCTCAGAGCAAGATGGCCACAAGAAGATGGAGAGAGTGAATGGTGAAATAGTCTAACGAATCTCTTCATTGTTGGACTCGATGAGAGTAACTAGTAGCAGATGAATATCTAAGTAAATAAATGTCTTTTCTCTCATTACCTGTTGGTTTCTGGTAAAAATAAGGACAATATCTCGTCCACGTTTTTGCATGCTCCTCGTGAAAAGAAAGAAATAATTTTAATTAGACTAATTTGGTTATTTGAAGATACCGCTTTATTAGATGACTTACGGTATACATAAATAAAGCATTAAAAGCAAAAAAATGACAAAGTTTTGTATTTTATATTTCCTGAGGTCTAATGGGCATACACAAATTGTAGTTTGCCTAAAAAGAGAAAAAAGAGCAGTAAATTGCAGATTGAAAGCAGGCACAAAAATCTTACATTTTGATCCCAAAAATTCATCCCCTTCCAGCCACAACCCTAAAAGATCATATTGACATTACAATTGTACATTATCAAGTGATCATGTACTTTTCCATTTATCAAATTGATGTCCTCAGGGCCAGTGTAATGAGGATCAAGAATCAAAAATCTAAAAATTATTATAAAATTATTTTTAAGGTTATTTTTCCTACTTAATGTCACCAGATTGCTCGTCATAGTCAACTCCTAATATGGTATGAGCTAAAACCCCACCCCCTATCATTACGGGAGTGCCCTGGTTTCTAAAATGATGCTGTAAAAGACGACCGGTACCAGCGATATCAGCTCCTCTTGAGCAGTGATGAATACGAGACTCTATCTGAATAATGAAGCATTTGGTATTGACCACACCCACTGGCCCACCCACCTGTAATGAGTGATTCAGGACGGTACTGACTTCAATTGATCCAATCCATTCAGAAGAGCCAATAAATGGTTTCTATAATAATAATAAATAATAATTTTAATTTATGTGATAAAAATTTATGTGATACGTGCAATGCAATAAAATTGGGGGTGATTTCGGAGCCAATTTTTTGAAAAAACCATGGGCTATAGTACAGGGAAACTTTCAGATTTTGGCCAATTTTTAAAAATAGCTATAACTTAAAAATTTGAAGTCAGAATCGTCTCAAACTTTCTACATAGCATAAGGACATCAATATGTATCAAAAAATGTAATAAAAATTGGGTGTGATTTTGGAGCCATTTTTTGAAAAAAACCATGGGCTAAACATAAAAAATTAAAAA